CCCTAACCTCCTACTCCTAGCCAAGCGACCCCATTGTCTAGCAGCCAGGTCCAAAGGAAGAACTCCAGCCAGCACAGGCAGGGCATCCGTACTCGTGGTACGATATGCCCCCGTTACCGCCAAGAGCGCACCCCTCTGAGCTCCTAACAACAGACGTTTCATCATCCGATCGCCGACGGTTTCACCCCACACTGCAGCCCCGTAGAGCAGTCTCGGCACAAATACACCTAAGTATAATCTGCGCGTCGTCCGCCCACTAAGGCCCCAGGTTAAGGCTACTATACGCCGGATCCTCTGAAACATTGGTGCCGCTTTCCCCGCTACTCTTTTCACGTGGCTTCTAAAACTCCACCTATCGTCCAAGGTAACGCCAAGATAATCCATCTCTGTTACCTCCGCTATCCTCTTCCCGTCCATCCTAACTGTGTATGGTGGAGTCAGTCTTCCCTTCAGACACATGACTTTCGTCTTTGTGGCCGAGAAGGTCAACTTCATACCAACCGCCCAGGATCCTGCTCTTTTCAGTTTGGACTCTGCCTTTTGGATCACCTCTGATCTCGTCTTCCTAGCTATCATCAGCAACACATCATCCGCGTAACCGATGGATAGTTCTCCTTCCGATTCGTCAAGACTCAATAAAGAGTCCATCAAAATGTTCCAGAGTTCCGGTCCGAACTGAGACCCTTGAGGACAACCCTTGGACAGCCTAACCTGGCTTCTCCCCGTCGGCACAGTGATACTGGCGTATCTATCCCCTAGGTAGACTCAGCCCGCGATCAAACTGTGCGGCATCGACGTTCAGCTCTCGACTGAGATGACTGATCTCGGGATGGTGGTGGACAAGTCGATGCTGTTCAAGGGCCAGGTCAAGAAAGAAGCAGCCAGAGCAGCGGAGATCGGAAACCTGATCATTCCGAACGTGGGCGGGCCCCGAGAGGACCGGCGGCGTCTTCTGTCCTCGGTAGTGCACTCCATGCCCTAGCTGGGCGCAGACGCTGGGACTCGTGGGAACGTCCGGACCCTGAACAGAGCTCAACGAAGAGTTCTTCTCCAATGCGTCTGCACGTAACGCACCGTCTCCGAAGCGGCCACAAACGTGATCGCATCAATACCGCCTGCAGACTTCCTTGCGAAGGTGAGAGAGGCGGCGTTCGACCGGTGACGGGCCCCCCTCGGTCCCCACGGCAGGCAACGATCCGAGAACTGACACCATGAAGGCATGGTAGAAGAGATGGTCAACGGAGGAGTCAGGAAGCTGGACCAGGCGGCTGATCCCGGACGTCCGTCCCTGGTGCGCCAGAAGACATGGGCTGATAACGAACTTCCATCTGATATAGTTCTTGTCGGGACATGGATGTTTTGGCCAGTATCTGTACCTGATCCGCAAGTTGGAGAACCCCAGGTGTGTGGACTGTCTCGCGTCAGTTGACGATGCGGAGCATGCGTTTTTCCTGTGCGACAGGTGGTTAGGTTGAAGCTGAAAGCTACAATCAACGACCCATTCACTCCAGAGACCATTGTAGGGAAGATGCTGGAGTCACGGAGCAGTTCGTGAAGGAGGTGCTGACGAATAGGGAAGCCAAGGAGAGGGAACGGCAGTGTCAAGAATAAACCTTGTAGTTAAGTCTAATTTGTTGTGGGCCGAAGGCCGTTTCTTAGATGGTGTAGGGCCATCTACTGCTTGTAAATAGACTGTCAATAATATTGTCAAGTCTATGTATATACATTAACATTGTAAGATTTGTTGTTTAATAAACGATGTGGAAAAGCTGACGAATTGCCTCAGGGTGTTTCCGGCCCCCTACGATACCGTTTAAAAAAAAAAAAGGTAGGCAGGTTGGAAATCCGTTCCCACAAAATCCAGGCTGCACGATAACTGACCACGAATTCGGATTTTTGCATTTTTTTTTCTTGATTTTTAAATATTTTATTAAACTATTGTATTTTTTGTTATCACGGAAAGTGCATATTTATTTCGATATCTAACTATCTATAAAATATCAAATAAAATATTAAATATATAGTTGTATATAAATGTATAGTTTTTTGATCTTCAACTCGCTAACGTTTGACATGTATTTTCCATAATACTTTTAAAATCTTCCCTTTACACCCACATCGCCTACCTTGGAGGTATAAACGCGTTTAACTGGATTTTCAACAGTAATCGCTTGAAAATCGAGCGCTCGATTCGACTTAAACTTTTTTGCGTACTGAACAACACAACGCCTTCGATGTCAGGAGGTATGACAATCTGCCTCAGGCGGATTGCCCGGCCAGGAATCGATGTTCACTGGGTGATGACTGATACCTAGACACTCAATTGCTATTTTCGTAACAAGCTACGGGACAAGGTGTATTATACCTGTGAATTTAATGAAATGACCGAACACTAGACGCTCGAATTGGACTTTTATTATTTACGCGTTTAAAACGACACCGCCAAAGTGTAGAGCCACCAAATCAGAGGTACCAACATTTCAAACGTCGTTATCCCTGTTTTTGCCTACTAGACTTTTCTGACTGCTGTATTCTAAAGTTCTGTCTCCGACCTAGGAAATTGACTTCAAACGATTTTCAGCTACCTAGGGTATTCACATATACAGCGAGTTTCACCGACCTAGAGTATTCACTTACTGTGAGTTTCACCGTTGCTAATCTTATAATAGAAAACGAAGAATAGTTCGCTCTTCCATCGATAGGTGTGGTGTCTCGACCAATCGGTAAATTAAAATTTTTTCCTTCCTTATGTCTCCCCGTCGTTATTTCGACTATCGGTTGTTATTATTGTTATTTTACCGTTTTTTCCGCTTTTCTACCGATTTTCCGACTTTTAGAGACCTTTTAGGCGTTCGCACGTTTCTTATTGCGTAGAACGCGTCTTATACGAGCCGCGCGTGTGCCGTATGTCCCCGAATTCCGTTCGTAACCGTCGCCGTCGCGTTCGGAAAACGCGTATTTGCGGTGTGTTGGCAACACTGATTAGGCCTATCCAGACTGTCGACAACTGGCTTCTACTAGCTTTAAAGTTTAGTTTTAGTTTGAGCACAGTCCACTGAGGGTCTGCGCTCGACACATTTTCGATTGTATTGTGTTGCTAATGGATTAATAAACTTTTGTTGAATTTAACGTTTAGTTTTGTGTGATTAATAACTAACATTTTCAGAAGTAGGATAGTGAACATCCAATACGTCTAACAAAGATCTCCGTGATCGATTCCGATTGTGCATTGTAAGTAAATCCATTACGTGATTTTCGCTGTGCCGTTTACACGGGCGTCACCGTTTCCGCCAAAATCGACCTTCTCATTTACCACCAAGTCCGTTTACCGCCAGTACAATAATATATATTTTCTTTATCCACCAACACAAATTTCAGTTTCTATATTTTGGCAACCCCTGATTGAAAGAATTAAAATATAACATAATTTACCTATATAATATAGTTTATCACAGATAATATTATGTTCACACCACGAAGCCAAATTTTAAAACGACAAAAAAAAAAACAACCAGTATTTAATTGATCAGTATAAAAGGGGAGAAATATGCCGATATACTTTTGTAAAATCAATAGCGTATAACTATAAGAAATAAATAAATGTTTGACTAAGTTTTTGTAAAATCATATATTTAATTAAAAATTGAATACCTAATTATTTTTTTTTTCATATAATATTTTATATTTATTATTTATTATAATTTTATAATTTTTATTTATATATTTTAAAAATCATTACCAATTATTAATAACTCCATTTGTTAACATGGTAAGGGGTTACCAAAATATAGAAACTGAAATTCGTGGTGGTGGAAAAAGGAAATATATATATTATTGTACTGGCGGTAATCGGAAAGGTCAATTTTGGCGGAAAAGTAGATCACCCCGTTTACACGTGGCTGTTTTCTGACATCCATTGGGGTTTTCCCCATTTTGACAAGTTCAACCATTTGACCAGTGACGCTTTGTTTCGGACAACTGTCGTGTACCGATTACACGGTAGTGTATATATAACCGTGGTTCATCGTGAAAAAAGATACACATTACGCACGCGTTTTAAATTGTTTGTTTCCTTTACTCGTATGTACTGCGTTATCGAGGAAAGGAATGACAAACAACGAACAACAAAACGGTCGCATTCCGACTGCTCTGAGTGCTCCGTCATATAACGCGCTGTTTAATGAAGTTTCCGAGTTCCGTGCTTAACTACAACAGTTACAAAATGTAACTAACCGTTCGTTCTCCGTTGACACCGTTAACACTCAACCAGTCTCCGATTTTAGAATAATGCCGGATCTGAATCAATCAGTCAAAAAGTTTACCGGGCGCGAGAATGTTACTTCAAGCAACTGACTGGTTAGATATCGTCGAAGGCCTCGCTAATCTGAACAATTGGCTTTGGAATTTTCATCTTGAGTTCATAAGAGCGAATATGACAGGTGCCGCACGATCTTGGATGGTAGGTGAGAAATTTACATATTGGATCGATTTTAACCAAAAGTTCCGCCGATTATTTGTACGACAAACGTCAGTTTCCGACCGTTGGGACCTGATGATGACACGCGTCCAAAACAGAGATGAACCGATTTTGGAGTTCTATCTAAACAAGGTGAGATTATGCAAAGATTTATCGCTACCTTTCACCGAAATAAGAGATCATGTACTGCAGTCACTTTACTCCCGAGATCTAGCCTTGTACGCTCTAGGCCAGTGGTTTTCAACCTTTTTCGGATCGCGACCCCCCAATTTTTATTTTATTATTATGCGACCCCTTCAAAATAAATTTTGTTTTATTCATTAAAATTTGATTTAATTACTGATTAAAATATTTACATGGTATACATTTTTAATTAATTACTCTTAAAATTGAATTAATAATAATTTATAACTCAACATTATTTTAAAACGTATTGTTAAGCATAAAGAATAAATTAAAATATAAAAAAAAAAATACATAAATAAAATTTAAAAAATGTAAAATTTAAATTGTGATTCACATTTTAATGAGATACTTGAGCTTGAACTTGAGCTATTATTGACTTCATATTAGGTTTAATATTAGATACTGCTACTTTTAAATCTGATTCTACATTCAATTTTGTACGATATTTAATTTTTATTATTGTAAGAGCTGAAAACACAGTTTCACACAAGTAAGTCGATGCAAACGGTAGAAGTGTTGATAAAGCTATTTTTGACAATTCTGGGTATAATTATTTTATATAAATCCAAAATTTATCACTTGTCGTTTCATCAAATTTTAAACGCAAATTTTCATCGGAAGATAACTCGATTAGTACCTCTTTTATAGCTAAACTTAATTCAGAATCAATTTTATTAATATTGATAGAAAATGGATTTCGTATCCATCCCAACTTTTTTTCTGGAAACTTTTCAAACCGTAATTAAAATTTTTTCCAAATTTTTGAGATGAACTAATATTATGTCTTTATTTTTTTTAATGTCAAATATTTCATTATGACTCATAAATTCTGAAAAACATGAGAATATTTCAAAGTTTTCATTATTAACATAATTTATCCATAAACGTATTAATTTTTTTTGAAAGCATCGATTTTATCAGAGAGAATTAATATATTTGTATTTTTACCTTGAAGACTTAAATTTAGACTATTTAATTTATCAAAAATATCGGAAAGGTAACTTAAAATTTCTAACCAACTTTAATTTATGAAGTGTTCTGCGAGTGTACTTTTATGTTCAAGGAGAAAAATTCGTATTTCATCTTTAAGCTCAAAAATTCTTAATAATAATATTTTACCATGGGATAACCACCTAACTTCAGTATAAAGTAGTAGTTTTGTATGATCAGATCCCATTTCATTACCAATTATCGTAAATAATCTAGAATTTAGTGCTTTTGACTTTATAAAATTAATTATACTAAATTCATTTTGTAGTACTTCATTGATAAAGGGTTCATGTTTTTTAGCTGCTAAAGCTTCCCTATGAATCATACAATGAGTAAATAGTATATTTGGTGAAATTTTGTTAACTTTAACTCTAAAATCTTTCTTTGATCCAGTAAGTGCTTCTACGCCATCTGTACAAATAGCTTTACACATTGACCACGAAATTTTATTATTTTCAAAAAATGTATTAAAAAGCATAAATATGTCATTGCCAGTGGTTCTGCCGTTTAAAGATTGACAACATAAAAAGTCTTCTAAAATTTCTTCTTTGTAAATATACCTGACATACACAAGAAGTGGAGAAAAGTTAAAAATATCTGTAGACTCGTCCAGTTCCATTGCAAAATAATTATTTTACAATCTATTTAAAAGTTGTTTTAATATATCATCAGATATATTCGAAATTCGACGTGATACAATGTTATCAGATAATGGAATTGATTTTAAATTATTTGCATATGCCTCACCGTGCATAGCCGTTACAATTTTTATAGCAGCTGGCAAGACAAGAGATTCGCCAATCGAATGCGGTTGTTTTTGCTATTAAGTATGAAACCTCGAATGATGCAACTAAAGCTTTTTGCGAAACTGTAGAAAATGTATGAAAACTTTTTTTTTGAACATTTAATGAATTTAAAAAATTGTTCATCTTTATTACTGAATTGCGGATGTTTTGTTTCTAAATGTCGTTTAAGTTTAGAGGGTTTCATACTTTCGGAAGCCAATATTTCTAAACATATTATACACTTAGGACTATGCTTACCTTTTTTCTTCAATAAAAGGAAATCCAAATTGTATATATTGATCTTGATATTTTTGATATTTACGTTATATTTTATGGTTCTCAAAATTGTAAGTTTTTTTTTCTTCCAATTCCTCATTAATAGATTGGTCCGTTGTAGTTTCCGACAACTTACGTTTTTTATTTACAATTGCACTTTCACAAGAAGTCAAAGGTCGTTTAATTAAAAATTTGTCCATATTAAAATAGTGTAATAAAAATAAGTAATAAATAATAACTAATAGTTATGTACTCAAAAATAATGACTTTATATCGTGTGAAATAAATGTACAACTCAAATGACAGCTAGGTAGAAACTGATTATTATAAATATTTACGACTGAAATCGTTCAAATATACGTCGATACTAGTTACGAACAATTTAATAATCTATATACGCTATCGTCCGATAAGATTACGCATCTCGGCATGTTATTATATTTATATAAATATAGAATCAAATAAATAATTAACTTATTTCTGACGGTATACTATAATGATAATAATAACATTGTTTTTATTTTAAATATTCTATTTTTATATCAACATGAATTAAATTTGTATATTAGACCTAAGCGTGATTTTTAGGCTG